TTGAATCCAGGGCCTGTGCATGGTAGGCAAGCACTCTATCAATTGAACCAAATCCCCCAGCCCTGTGTTAAGAGTTTTTTTTTTTTTTTTTTTTTTTTTTGGTACTGAGGATTCAACTCAGGGGTACTGAGCCACATCCCCACCCTATTTTGTATTTTATTAAGAGACAGGGTCTCTCTGAGTTGCTTAGTGCCTTGCAGTTGCTGAGACTGGCTTTGAACTCAGGATTCTCCTGTCTCACCTCCCAAGCCTCTGGGATTACAAGAGTGCGCCACTGCCCTCCCTGTGTTAGAGATTTTGATAGCCTGTTAACAGGCTTAATATTAATAACATTAATATTATTTATTTATTTTGTTTAGTAGGCTAGGGATTGAACCCAGGCCTTGCAAATACTGGACAAGTGCTCTACCACCAAACTACATCCATTAGCCCTTATCTCTGATTTAGACCAGGTAATTTTAATTTATAGTTTATCATGTTTAAATGTGCATTGGTTATTGGGGCTGGGGTTGTGGCTCAGCAGCAGAGCTCTCGCCTCCCACATGTGCGGCCCTGGGTTCGATCCTCAGCACCACATAAAAATAAATAAATAAAGTGAAGGTATTGTGTCCAACTATAACTAAAAAAATTAAATATTTAAAAACAGTATGGGGGCTGGGGATGTGGCTCAAGCGGTAGCGCGCTCGCCTGGCATGCGTGCGGCCCGGGTTCGATCCTCAGCACCACATACAAATGAAGATGTTGTGTCCGCCGAAAACCAAAAAATAAATATTAAAATTCTAAAAAAAAAATAAAAATAAAAATAAAAACAGTATGTATTGGTTATGAATAAAATGAGTGCTCACAAATACAGCATTTACATACAAATATCATATTACTCCAATGTCTTTACTTAGTCCTCGTGATTCATTCAATAGTATAAGAACATCATTGATCTTCATACAAGTTTTGTTTGGTCTACACATTGTTTATGAAAATTTTAAATTAGTTTTCATCAATTAAAAATTGGGAGATTGGGGGCTGGGATTGTGGCTCAGCGATAGAGCGCTCACCTAGCACGGGCAGGACCAGGTTTCGATCCTCAGCATCACATAAAAATAAAGGCATTGTGTTGTGTCCATCTATACCTAAAGAATAAATGTTTAAAAAAAATTGGGAGATTGCGTATGAAATCTGAATTTGTGACTTTTCTTTCTTTCTTTTTTTTTTTTTTAAATTATAAGGTCTCTCAACACTGTTTGCTTTTTACTATAGCAAAATTGGTTGGCTCCAAGAAATAGCTACTCTCTCCTTTCTTTATGGTAAGGGGATTATGTATAGCTCCAAGTGGCCAGCTGTACTCAACTGCCTGGTTGGCTCCAGTAGGCATATTTATTCCATTTATATTCTTATTTTAGATTTAGACCATTCAGATGCCTGAGAATGAATTTCAGATTTGTTTAAAGCACCAAAATAAATGTATATAATCAGGCTTATTTCCAAATTGAAAAATGGTCAAGGGTTTGTTTATTTATTGTAGTGCTGGGGCTCAAACCCAGTGCATACTCTAGGGGCAAGTTTATTGTTATTTTTTTGGTGGTACTGGGGATTGTACCCTTAGTACCCTACCACTAAGTGACATCCACAGCCCTTTTTGTTTTTTTTTTATTTTGAAAGAGGGTCTTGCTAAGTTCTTTAGGTTGAACTCAAATTTGTGATCCCTTTGCCTCAGCCTCCTGAGTTGCTGCTGGGATTACAGGCATGCACCATTGAACCTGGTTTAGGGGTAAGGTTTTTATTATTATTATTTTTTAATATTTATTTTTTAGTTGTAGTTGGAGATGATACCTTTATTTATTTATTTATAATTTTTTTTTAGTAGTAGTGAGACACAATATCTTTATTTTATTTATTTATTTATTTTAATGTGGTGCTGGGGATCGAACCCAGTGCCTCACATGTGCTAGGCAAGCACTCTACCGCTCAGCCCCAGCCCTAAGAGCAAGTTTTTTTTTTAAATTTTTTGATGTGTGGACCTTTATTTTATTTATTTATATGTGGTGCTGAGAATTGAACTCAGTGTCTCACACTTGCAAGGCAAACGCTCTATCACTGAGCCACAGCCTCAGCCCCCTAGGGTCAAGGTTTTAAGCAAGCAATTCACAGAGGAAAAACTTAATAATGTGTATGTGTATACACACAAAAAATTATATATATACACACATAAACACACATACATATATACACACGAATATATGAAAAGATGCTTAGTAAACAATGTTATTTAGTAATTTTTTATTTTTTGTGGTGCTGGGGATTGAACTCAGATGGTCTCTACACTGAGCCACACATCCCCAGCCCCTTTCCTTTTTTTTTTTTTTTTAAGAATTTTAAAATACACACAGACAGACACACGCATGCACACATACACAGTTGATGGACCTTTGATTTATTTATTTACTTATATGTGGTGCTGAGAATCGAACCCAGTGCCTCATACATGCCAAGCAAGCACTTTACCACTAAGCCACATCTCTAGTCCCCAGCCCCTTTTCCTTTTTTTTTTTTTTTTTTTGAGACAGGTCTGGCTAAGTTGCCCATGCTGCTCTAGAACTTGCAATCCCCCAACCTCTGCCTCCTGAGTTGCAGAAAGCTCACAGTTAGGCTTCTTTCCCTGGAATAATTATTCCATGTGTGCATGAGAAAGCATGGATCAAGATGTTTATTGTACTACTATTTTCTTCAAACAAAAACATCATTTAAACAAAAAAGTGGAAACAGCCTTACTTACTTTGTTTAGGAAGAGATTAGATAAATAATTGGTTTATTCAAAGAATGGAATACTACTATGTCAAAAATTAATGAATTAGGGGCTGGAGTTAAATCACTTGCTTAGTCTTTGTGAGGCTTGATCCTCAGCAACACATATAAAATAAAGTAAAATAAAGGTATTCATCTACAACTAAAATTAAAAAAAATTAATTAATTACGTTAGTTTCTATAAGCATTGTCTGTCCCCCAAATATAATATTAAATGATTTAGGAATGGTGGCACCTGCTTATAATTGTAGCTGCTTGGGCAGGCAGGAACATTGCAAGTTCAAGGCTAACCTCAGCAACTTAGTGAGACCCTACCTCAAAATAAAAAATTAAAGGGGCTGGAGATGTAGCTCAGTGGAAAAGCTCCCCTGAGTTCACTTCCAGTGTGTGTTTGTGTTTTTTTTGGGGGGGGGGTTGCTAAATAAAAAAAAGCAAGTGTGAAAGTTTGTAAGATTGTACACATTTTGATACCATTTATGTAAAATTAAAATTATTTACAGGTCCTTATATATGTGTATCTAAAGTACTGAAACATACTTGGGAAAGAGATACATTAGCCTTAGGATAGTGGTGTCTTTAGGGCATGAGGAAGAATGGAATGGATTTTTCATTGAGTCTATTCAGTAGTCCATCATTGTACAGGAGGAACATGTTCCAAGATCCCTAGTGGATGCCTGAAACCACAGGTAGTACTGAACCTTTATATGCTGTGTTTTCCCCCATATGCCCTGCAGTGTTGCCACATTGTACCAGAGTTAAACTGTCCTTCATGGTTAATGCCTAGGTACCTCCTTTGTATCACTACTCTTGCACCCTGGGGCCATTATGAAGTTAAATAAGGTCAATATTTGAATACAAGCACTTCAGAACTCAGTAGTCAATCTGATAACCTAGACTAGCTTTTAAGGCTTTTAAGTTACTAACCGTGGTAGTGTGTACAACCTGGCAATGATAGACAAATTGCTGATTCCCAGAAGAAACAGAATGAGATTTTATCATGTGAAGGTGGACAATTTTAAACTTAAGAATTGTTACTTCTGGAATTTTCAGGCTGCCAGGGGCCATGGACAAAGGCGGGGGATACCACTATATTTTAGTTTTTTGGATCAGAAGAAAATAAGATTATCTTAAAAGCCAATTTTATTTTGGGACTTGGGTCATTAGTGTGGGTCATTACATTTGGGAATAGTGTTTCTTTGGGAAAAGAAAAATTTGAATAGGTTCTTATGAAGTTTTGACCTTATAGTATGAGATATACCTTTTTCTTGTATCCTCAAAGAAAACCTCATGCTGGGTTAAAATATGTAATTTACAGTATGTAAAAAATGTTTTCTAGGAATGGGATTGTGGCTCAATGGTAGAGCGCTTGCCTAGCATATGTGAAGCACTGGGTTCCATCATTAGCATCACATAAAAATAAATAAAAATATTGTGTCCATCTACAACTAAAAAAATACATAAAAAGTGTTTTCTGGGCTGGGGTTGTGGCTCAGCAGTAGAGCCCTTGCCTAGCGTGTGCGAGGCCCTGGGTTCGATCCTCAGCACCACATAAAAATAAATAAATAAATAAAACAAAGGTGTTGTGTCCAACTACAACTAAAAAATAAATTAAAAAAAGTTTTCTAATTTAAAAAAATTTTGAAATAAAAAAAATTAATTAAAATTGTTTTAAATCCCGGTGTAAGGAGAAAAGATGCTTTTATTTGTTTCATTGGTTAGATGTTTAAATAGTGTGAAATAAATTTATTAAATTATTTAAAAAATTTATTAATAATAATAAATGTTATTGAAACATTTGGAGTTGAGTGCTGTGGCACCCACCTGTAATCTCAGTGACTCAGGAGGCTGAGGCAGGAAGATTGGGTGTTCAAAGCCAGCCTCAGCAATTTAGTGAGGCCCTGAGCAGCTTAGTGAGACCCTGTCTCAAAATAAAAATTTAAAAGGGCTGAGGATGTACTCGGTGGTTAAGTAACCTTGGGTTCAATCCCTAGTACCAAAACAAAACAAAAACTATAACTTGGAAAATAATGAATTATATTAAGACTGTTCTTTTATTTCTACCTTTGATGCATAAATACTCGTCCAGATTTGGTTAAGTCTGGCAGTTAAGTCTGCAGTAAATTGCCTGCAATATTAGTCCAAAATGAAGATGTATGTATTACTAATATAGGCTATTTTTGATTGCTTTCTTTTCCCCTTAGGTGAGACAGGCGACCAATCAGATTGTGATGAATTGTGCTGATATTGACATTATTACAGCTTCATATGCACCAGAAGGAGATGAAGGTAAAAGCTGTTTTTCATTTTAATTTGGTGTGTGTGTGTGTGTGTGTGTGTGTGTGTACATGTGATACACACTTTCAGGTTAAGATGTCAATGTTTGTTACTTTAAAAATAGAAAAATCTGGGAGCTGTGGCGCATGTTTATTATCCCAGGTACTTGGGAGATTGAGGATTGCTGTTTTGAGGTCCGCCTGGGTAGTGAGACCCTGTCTCAAAATAAAAAGGGCTGGGGATGTGGCTCAGTAGTAGAGCACCCATGGATTCAATCCCCAGTACCACACGTAGACATACACACATATACACTCAGAAAAGAAAAGAATATTTTATAGATTTATTTTTTGGGAAAAAAACAAAAACAAAAGATGTTTATGAGAAATATTTGAATAGTATAATTTCTTTTTTACATTTTTTATAACTTTATTTATTTATTTTTTGTGTGGTGCTGAGGATTGAACCCAGTGCCTCACATGTGCTAGGCAAGTGCTCTATCACAGAGCTACAACCCCAGCCCAGAATAGTATAATCTTATTGAGGATACAGAAATGTCACAACTTAAATTCTGCTTTAAGCATTAACTTTTTTAAGACCATAAGAAAATCAGATTTTTGTAAGTGTAAAATCAGTATAACAATATGTATAATAAAGCTGATGAGTTATTTTAAAAATTAAGTACTTTGAACATGGAAGTTTCATTAAAGGAGCTTAGTTTACTTGAGTTTTTCTACTCCTCCACAACTTTATTAAATTTTTAAGATAATGTCTTAACTTATAATTAAGAGAAAAATACTTGCTTTATGAGAACAAATTTGAAGGTTAGAAGGCTAGATGATAGGACTGGTTTTTCAGGAAAAGCATGTTAAAATGAAGAGTGGCATAGAGTATGAAAACTATTAATATCTTAAACATGAGAACTCATATCAATAAGGATATAATCAGTTTGAACCACAAATCTTATTCTCACGTAAGGTTCACTTTTTTAAAAAAAAATTTTAATATGTATTTTTTAGTTGTAACTGGACACAATATCTTTATTTATTTATTTTTATGTGGTGCTGAGGATCAAACCCAGGGCCTCACACTTGCTAGGCGAGCGCTCTACCGCTGAACCGCAATCCCAGCCCCAAGCTTCACTTTTCAAAGATGTTAAGTTTGGGCTGGGGTTGTGGCTCAGCGTTTCAGTGCTCACCTCGCACACGTGAGACCCTGGGTTTGATCCTTAGCACCACATAAAAATAAATAAATAAACAAAATAAAGATGTTGTGTCCATGTATAACTAAAAAAAAAAATATTAAAAGAAAAAAAAGATGTCAAATTTGGGGCTGGAGTTGTGGCTCAGCGGTAGAGCACTCACCTAGCATATGCAAGGCCCTGGGTTTGATCCTCAGCACTTCATAAAAATAAATAAATAAAATAAAAGTATTGTGTCTAACTACAATTAAAAATAAATATTAAAAAAAAAAAAAAAAAGAGGGCTGGGGATGTGGCTCAGCAGTAGAGTGCTCGCCTAACCTGGGCAAGGCCCTGGGTTTGATCCTCAGCACCACATAAAAATAAATAAATAAATTAAAGATATGCAACTATAACTAAAAAGTAAATATTTAAAAAAATTTGAAAAGAAAAAGATGTCAAGTTTGATATAAGCTTATACAAGTACATTAATATTGGAGCTGAATTGCCTTTTACTTTTGACTTTACCTTGCCATTTCTTATCAGAATGGTTGATTGTTTACTCTGAGACTTCCTCTTAAGTCCTCTCATTTGATATAAAATAAGTTAAAAATTTGATCTTTCAATTTACATTTTGTATTGTTATTTCTTTTCTCCTTTACATTAATGCTGAAAAGAAGCATACAAGGTTTATTCTAACACTTGGCAAAAAAAATTATCATTATTATTTTTGGTGGTACTAGGGATTGAACCAGGGCGGTTGTACCACTGAGCTACATTGTCAGCCATTTTTATTTTTATTTTGAGACAGGGTCTTGGTAAGTTGTCCAGGCTGGCCTGGAATTCACAATCCTCTTGATTTAGCCTACAGGCATAAGCCTTGCTCTGGCAACATTTATGTCATGTATTTTTCTTTCATTATCTTGTCCATACCAAGTTGAAGTAGTAGCAGTTTTTTTGTGCATATTATTGCCATGATTATGTTATTTTCAGCTGATTGTGAATGTGAACTGCCATGGTTTTAAGTTTAAAGTAACATATACTTCAAATGGACTTGAGTGAGTGCCAATTTCTTAAAAATTATATGGTAAATGAAGGGATGATTTTTATTTTTAACTGTGAAGAAAAATGGAAGTACTTCATCCAGTTACATCAAGGCAAGCTTTCTTTGTTATAGGTAGAGAACATTGAAATTTAATATAGGGTTTTAAAATGGTGCCCAGAGATCCAGAAAATTAAATGTACATCCTCCAGCTGACATGGTTTGAACTTGATTTGTTTTTTATCTTCCTCTACTAAAAAGCCAGGAAAGAATTCAGAGGACAAAAAGTTTTGAGTGTGCATAACTGAATTAGCTGTGCTAAATTTATAATTATTCATTTCTTTTTTTTAAATATATGCATTTTAGTTGTAGTTGGATACAATACCTTCATTTTATTTTATTTTTTACATGGTGCAGAGGATTCAACCCAGCGCCTTGCTCGTGTTAGGCAAGCACTCTACTGTCAAGCCACAACCCCAGCCCCAGTGATTCATTTCTTTCTTTTTTTTTTTTTTTTAACTTTTTTTTTTTTTAAGTTGTAGACAATACCCTTACTTATTTATTTTTATGTGGTGCTGAGGATCAAACCCAGGGCCTTGCACGTGCTAGGCGAGCGCTCTACCGCTGAACCACAATCCCAGCCCAGTGATTCATTTCTTAGGGAAGCCGAGTTAATGTTCTATAAGTGACTCAAGAGAAATATACACATTTATAGAAAATGAAAGGATTTGGAGACAGATTCAAATAAAACATGAAACTTTTTTAAGTACATAAATTATTTTCCTTCAGAATTAGGGTACTTTTCTCATCTCTTCTCTTCTATAGCAACACGAAAAACCTGGAGTCATATGGAAACCCATTTAATTTTAGAGTATAAGAAAATGGGAAATGGTATTAATTTGGTATTTTAAAATTTGTCAGAAACAGGGTTAGATTTGGCCTTTTATACTACACACACACATACACACACAGAGATCTTAATTTTGCCCTTAAATATATTAGCAGTTAGTGATTTTTACCTTCTGGGGAAATATAATGTGTTGTTTCTTCAAAATTAGCAGTTATGATTTTTCAGTGCCAGCTCTTTCCCAAGCTGTATACTGATGACAGGGAAATAAATGAGTAAATAAGACATCATTATTTGATCCAACTTATCACACTTCTAGTACCCATTAATGCTTACAATTGGCCTTCTGCAAGATTGATTTAGATATTTATAGCCACTAAATTTTGTTGCTTTAAGGTAAAATCAGAAAATTCTTTGAAGGCATAAAACTGTTGCTTCTTTGTGTGAGTTTTTAATGGGTGTAAAAAGGCCATCTTGTGATATATGCAGTAATCCTGAAAGACCTATTGGCATGTGTCTCTTTAAACTAAGGCACTGTCTTTTAAATATAATTAATTAAAAAAACCTATTTGAGATCCTACTTTGTAATATTTAAAAAATGAGAAATCAGTAAGAAAAACGGCTGAAAACTGTTTTTTTACTGTTCTGCACTTCAAGGGTTGGTGAAATCACTAGCATTTAAGCCAGTACAAGGAATGTACCTCCCTACACAGTGCAGGGATTAGTATTGCCATCAGCTTCTGCAAGAGAAATACGAAACTCTTGAGTGCCTGAACTCAGGTCTAACAGGTAAAGAGTTTTTTAATTTATCATTATAGATGGCTTGAGTGTAACTACATAGAAAATTATCACTTGAAAGTTTTATACCAATTTTTCCCTTATACTCTGTCAGGTATATGTTTGTAGAATTAGCTGTATAAGAAAACATTTTCCATTTGTGACATAATATTTCATATAAAATTCTAATATATAGTTTCAAATCTGCTAGCATCACTTTGGTTTATCTATATAAAGCATGCAAATTTTAACATTTTTCTCAAAATGTGATTGCATATTTGTATGCATGTGAGTGTATGCATTTGTTTAATGGAATGAAGTAGCTTATAAATATTGCCAAATAGTAATAATTTCAGAGCAGAAGTGTTATATTAATAATAAAAAGGAATGGTTCTTCACATTAAAAAAAATTTTTTTAGTTGTAGGTGGACACAATGCCTTTATTTTTATATATTTATTTTTATGTGGTGCTGAGGATCAAACCCAATGCCTCACCTGTGCTAGGCAAGTACTCTACCACTGAGCCACAACCCCAAACCCAGTTTTTCACATTTGATCATATCTTTATCCAATTCTTAGTAATATCTATCCTATCATAAAATTATATGTAGACAACTAGTAACATTAATGAGCCATTATCTATTTGCTTTTGACTTATTTAGTGTCATTCTGAAAAGACATGCAACCCTCAAAGCAGAAAGATTGAAAGAAAAGGAAATATAAATTTTAATACAAATATATTAAATATATATTATAGAATTTCATAAAGAAATTTTAAATGAAAGGACTCCTAAGTATAACTTCAGTTCTAAAAGATACAATATAGATTAGAACCAAAGTTCTTGTGGGGACAAATCAATAACAAGAATGAGTGAATTGGTTGGTTTAGAAAAATGAGTGACAGGACAGAGGCTGAACCAAAGAAAGAATGTTTCATATACATATATTCAAATTACAAAAAGAACTTTCATGGCCAAATAAAACATTTTTGTGAGCCATTTTGAGTTCTGCTGAAATGGCTCTGCTGAAGAGATATTCCAGGGAAGTGGTGTAATTTGCATCTTCTTTGTATCTTGAACCTAAAGACAAAATTTAACATAGCTGCCTCATTGAACAGAGGAAAAACCCTTATGAGAGTCTTATAGGCTTTTTTATTATTTAATTTTTTG